TAAGAATAAACAAGGAGGTGGATATATATTTATCCAACTCCTTGTTTATTCTTTCACACATGTGTGCTTTCCCCCCACTTCCTCATAGCTGACCTTGGCAGACTGTGACGTCTGGAAGGTGACATCCGCTGCGATCCAGATTCCCCTCGACCTCTCTGCCTGAGTCCAGATTTTCTCCTGGCTGCCGTTCGCATGCAGCAGATAAACAGCCAGAGCCTGGTCCGTCTGACTGAAACCTGCATTTGCCAGAGTTATTTCTGGTTGGTGAATCATTCAGATCAGCTCCAGCAGAAGATTCACACATTTCAAATAAATGCCAACATGCAGGGAAAATATATGAATCTGTCGAGTTTCAGGGTGCAGCTCACCCCTCAAAGAGAAGTAAAATGTCAGACAGTACTTCATGTTCCCGGCTAGAGTTGGACCGATGAGGCGGCTAACGTAGCCGGAGCGTGGGCCCAGTCGGGAGTGAGCCAACAGGAAAGATCCTGGAGGGAGAAGACAGCATTTAATTTTCTTGCTAACTCTCTCTTCCTCGGAATCTGCTTGCTGTGATCGTTCCCATCACCGCTCACACCTGGTAATGATCTGCTGCTCAACTGTTTTTCAGTGGCAAACTGTGCTTTGTTTGCATGCATGGATGCTGTCGCCACGTGAAGGCAAAGAAATGTCTAAAAAGCCGACAGACCACCAAAACGCCTGCCTAAATTTCACAGCTTTGATGTTTGTTCACATCCACCGTCTAATGAGAACAATACCAGGCTGTTAATGCTCTGTGGTTCACTTGGTTTACCATCTACAGTTCTGTGTAAAAGCCTTCATTTCTTTATGAAGGAGCCAGACTTTTTTGCATTTTTAAAAGTGGTCTTGAACAGCTTTCTGGGGGTATTTCAAAGTTTTTCTTTGACCATTGGCTGCTTTTTCACGCAGTTTTTAGTCCAATCTTTGTACCTGACAAAAGGAATATTTTGTTTGTTTTTTTTTGTTTAAGCCACTTAACACTGAGATGAACCAGTGCTGTGTCTAAACATAACGAACAACTTTGCCAGTTTTAAACTCTTTAATCTTCTGGCACTTTGTTACTCGACAGGCATACAATAATATTTTTCAGACCAAAAGTGGAGAAAAGTGGAGGAAACTATCTACAGGTGATAAACAGCTAAAAGTTATGTCCTAGGAAATACAAAAAACAAATCCACCAAACACCTGACATGGCACCTAAGAAATTCATCTGGCCTTTCACTTGATCTACACTGTTCTGTTAAGACTTATGAGTAATGGTTTCAGTGGAAGTGCCAGTCTTAAGAAAGGGAAATGAAAAACACACAATGGAGCAGAGCACTATAGACCATGGATTGGCCTTCCCAGGACCTCAGCATTATTGTAGCAATGGGGGATCATCTTTGCAGATAATGAAACAAAAGCCAACATCCAAAGGAAAACTCTCAATGCCCTCGATGTCACAAAGCTTGGAGAACTATTATCAAAGACTACTTAAAGAAATTTCAAGAAAACTCAACTACCCAGCAAACGTGCCCTCTTGGGGCCTGTATGAGGCCGCTGTGGGCAAACCCACAGTACTGGCATGAAATGTAGAGCACATCTGGGCCCACTGCGAGTAGGTGTGGATAAACCGTGGAACTAGGCAAGGCAAACCCACATTTTTCCACATGTGTGTACCCATCCAGGGCACATACCAGTTTTGCTCTTTGGGGCCTCTATGTGGGTTTTCTATGGTCAAGCCAATTATGTGTTGCCCATAGGAAACCTGGGTGATATGGTAGAATAAAAGATGTTTTACGAGTACTGGTCTGCTGGATGTTTTTGCTAACAAAAAGGATTCTTTGGTGGTGGAAAAAATCAGGACTTTCTCTCTGAGGCAGCCTCACAGTTGACCTATTCTGCTTGTATTGTTATTCTCGGACTCTAAATGCGTTTCATGATTCATGCATAATTACGTGCACATCAGCTTACCCTATTATTTGAAACTTGGGCCATTTTTAACAGTATTGTCACATTTTATATATGATAGGAAATACAGAAAAGTGTAATAAGTCCACTTTAAACAGTGGAAGTCCACGGTCAGATGTTGTTTCTCCACCTGCTCCTGTGGTGTGGTCTCCATTCCTGAATATGTTGGGCTTCACGGAGACTCTTCTCCACGGTGACTCCTTCGCCTGCTCCTGGGTGTAGAGGCAGAAACCAGACTCAAAATCACAGTTGGCGATAGAGGGGTCAAAAGTTGGCTCTGTAGAATAAATGCACAGAAACCGCAGGTTAATGTAGGATAAACACTTTTGTGGCTTCTGTTCAGACCTTTAAACATTTGTATTCGATTTCATGTTAACATCTGTAGACCCTGTAGGATTAATCCTATATTAATCATGGTTATTTTCATCTTCTTAATCTACATGCAAACTCCCAAATTTTGATATATGAAAGACTTTATGACTTTACTGCTACTTGGATTTGGTGCTTTAAGATATTAATTAATTTAAATTCTTAAAATTTGGAGGCTTAAGATTGACCAAGTTTGACTATTTTACTGGTGACATTAGCGGTGAAAGAATAAGGGGCTTTATCTGCAGCTCACCAGTGTCTGTGGTGCAGAACTGCGAAGAAAAGGAAATATCATCAAGTGCAACACGTCCGCCACGTGGACTGTTAAACGCCACTTCAAAGACCACCTAAAGGGACATAAACAAAGTTGTAGGTCGTTATGTGTTCACACAGATGTGTTCATATTTACCTGTTAATGCACTGTAGTCGTAGTAGTTTAGTAGCAGTTTTAAGTCAAACCCCAAAAACTTTTTAAAACCAAATAAAGAACAAAAACATTTGTCAGACGAATGATGGAAGCACAAGAAGTTAAAGATAACCTAACATAGAGTCCCTGCATTTAACCCTGCCCAGTTTACTGCCTACCAGAACATCTGTGTTATAGGTCATCATGTATACCTATGAGACCGCAAGCAGTTTATCAATTAATCTATCAATTAAGACTACCTTAACATAGATTACTCGTATTATTCCCTTTGTAGATACACTGGCGACTATATTACGTACACATGGAAAGAAATTCAAGTCACAGTTTAAAACAGTCACTCATTGATTGGTTTTTGTTTTTTTTTACATTGTCAGAAACTTGTACTTTCAATTAATACTACACGACTAAAGCTACGGAACAATTAAAGATTTTAAAAGTTAAAATCCTGACTATCATGTGAATAACAGAGACGTTCAGTGAAATCCAACTCAATCATCTCTTGCATGTGGCCATAGAGACAGAGAAATATACATAAAAGATATGTAACATTTGTCAAACAATAACACAATTGATAGCACAATTAATGTTTTTTATATTTCCCCAATGACACTAGAGATGTGCTCTCCAATGTATTTTTGTTTGGATGGATGGATAGAAAAAGTGCAATCCAAATCAGAAATGGAGGACTTTCACCTTCAAAGTAAAGTCAGTAAAGCACTAGGGTTTGCTTTGTGAATGTCCATGTGCCTGCCTTTTTTGTGACTGCATATACTTGTCTGCTGAGAATTAACATTTTAATGCGCCAGCTACACATGTGCTCCCAGCAGCGAACTTCAAGGGGTCTTCAAATAAGTATAAGAGCAATGACTGCTCAACCAGGTCTCCAGCTGTCTGCATTTGCAATGGACCATATCAAGGCATAAAAGTTGCGCCTCACCACTGCAACCAACACGTTTTAAAATGTGCAACTTTCCCTTTGAAGGCAAAGGTTCTCTGTTTTTTGGTTTGCAAGTTCACAATTTCTCTTCTGCTCAGTGTTTACAGGCAAGTTGTTTTCTTCCGTGCAAAGTGTGGGTGACCGTGGCAATCTGCTAAAGTTCAAAGAGGTTTTTGTTGTATACCTCAATAGCAAACTTAAAAAAATAAAATAAAATTCAATCAGTTTTATTTATCTTGTAAAAAACCCACAACAACAGTTGTCTCCAGGCACTTTATACTGTAGGTCACATATATTACGTATATTGTTAGAGAGAGCATCTGGTGATTGTGGGGTCTCTTTTAACAGGAAGAGACTTTTGTTTTGGGGTTTGGGGAAAGACAAGACAGAAATAGGAGCACAGCACATAAGATAAGATAATTTTGAGCTCAAGAAATACATCATTGGAATTTATCTAAAAGAATCCAGCTTTAAAATTAGGTTCACAGCAGCAAAAGTATATCTTTAACTACCACTTAATTTATTTTTGCTTTTATAAGAAAAAAGCTGCCTCCTTTAAAAGTAGGGGTCTTGCTTTGTTCATTAAGTCATCACATAAGACTTCATAAGAGGTCTTGAACTGACCTGTACCGAGTAGGGTGCCTTCAGGTCCACCTGCACAGGTATCCACTCTCCAGGAATTTTTGTCCAGTCGTTTTGATTCTCCAACCCTGCCCTCCACAACTCCTGGTACTGACCCAGCTGGTCCCGGGTGAAAACAGAGAAGAGGTTTCCTATCTCACTGCGCTGGTACTGAAAACTCAGACAGCCGGACATCGGCACCTGCGTCATTGGAGACACCAGTTTGGCCACTTCTTTAAAGGTCTTGCCGTAGATGGAGTCGACATACATGAAGTGACCTGAAAGGAATTCAGTGGGAGAGTTCTCTGGGTTTATTTAGGCCACGTAACCACTGATTTGGTGATTTCTAGATGTCTAAACACCTACGTCAAAGTCTTTAAAGCTTTAACAACTTTAAAACTTACAGTAATGTGTTGCTTTGACGCTGTCAGTCTGAAAGATAGGACCATTCTGGGTACATTTTGAATTATGTTTACCACTCTTGTCAAGTTAAAGCCATAGGACAAGTCATTACAGACCTTTGTAATGTTTGTAAAAGGTGAGCTGAGTCCAACTGGTGACCGTTCTACAGACCATTGAGGAAAAACGAAGTGGTCTGTACCAGGATCAGGGGCATCAAATGCAAAGCCTGGGGCCCAGAATTAACCCTCCTAAGGATCCAGTCTGAATTGACTGAATTGCTTTGCAATTGAAGGCATAGTTCGGCGCTCTGCAATGGACTATGGGTCGGTCCATCTGTTAGGATAGGCTCCAGACCCACCATGACACTGAACTTGGTAAGCAGTTAAGAAAATGGATGAATACATTTTGGGGCTTTTCTTGTTTTTCCCTTTTATTGGATGAACAAAGTGGAAACAGACTGGAAGGATAGACATTAGAGTTCCTGTAGAGAACTGGTTCCCAGTAGTTAAATTCCTTGGAGTTGTTAGTTTCCTTGCTTATTGATCCCACTTGTGGGTTCCACATTCAACTGACTTCAGTTCGGAGGAAAATAGTGGCGCGGTCTTTAGAGTGCATATAAACATTACTTTTATTTTAATTGCACAAGAAGACAAGAGTGTAATTGTCTACTCTACTGCTAACACAAGTTTGACTCTTTGCAAGCATCTGCACAGACAAGCTAAGCCAAGAACCCTGAGTGACGTTAAAGCTGACCCCAGCCCTGCAGCCAGACCCTGAACCTCAATGGATAACAAACTGATGAGCAGTCAGGCTGCAGCCTCCGTTTCTACCTGTTCATGTTTCTAAAGTAGAATCACTGTAGCGATCGCTTTAAACTCTCTTTGTGCTGGTTTTGATCCTTGCTTCGTGTTGCTGGTTTTGTGTTCATTCCTAAATACTAAGGGAAAGATCATATGTGTATTCTCATTAGCCCAGGGATAGGTGTTGGTGTATGGGGCTGTAGCGATTAGTGATTAAGCAACGTACTACATTATTATTAAGAACAGTGTTCTGTGTAATATGTGTAATAATTACTACCCAACATATATCACAATAGAGAAGGGAAATACTGACGACATTTGCATGAATGTAATGTCTTTCATATCCTGCTTAGTGATGGTGGTTAGTCCCAAAGCAGAGCCAGTGAGAAATCGAATCACAAGTGATATCGATAATGGAATCAGAATTGTTAAATTATTCATACATACCATCCCTAGAGGTCATTACAAAGAATGCAGATTTGAAGCACTACCTAAAAACCTAGAAACTACATCCCATATGTTAAACTGTCTGATATATAATGATGAAATTTCACTTTTTAAAGTATCCCAGGCAGTTCATTATTGTATTTGTATGAGTGTACCTGTACTTTGACCCATTGTAGCCCTCGTTAACTTTGTGGTAGTTAGCTTATGAACTAAAACCAGTTTGACCCTTCACGAGTCATTAATAGTACACCCAGTAATTATATGTACAAATCACTCTTGCTCACCTGAGCCGTTGTTGTATGTGTGATCATTTGGCATATCATTGTGGAGAACCTGGACCCCGCCTCCTCCCACATACCAGTTTACATTGGCATTCCACTGGTTATTGTATCCACACAGGTGAGACTCCTCAAAATCACATTCTAGAGGCAGACAAATGAACAACAGACTCGCTGTTATGGGTGCGCACGTGAAAGCGTTTTCATGCTGTCGGAGCTTTGTAATGTGTGAGGATCAGGGTGCAGATGGTCTTCATCAAGGCGTACATATGTGGGTCATGTTTTTCTTTCAGTTTAAAGTAAGATGTGTGAGTGACATAAGTGTGAAGTCACCGACCCAGGCAGTATCCAGGGCTGATGTGGATCTCAAAGATGGCCACGCTGCTCCCTTTGCTCGACCCAGGTTTACCTTCGATGACGACCTAATCAACGACACATGGTCAGTAATCCCCCAAAGTGAGGTCTGACATCACAAAGGCATCACATGAGGTTAAAAACAGTTCATTCATGAACTATGCTGATAGCTAGTCTAGTTTTCCTAACTCTGATTTGCTTTAAAGTGGCGTGCAGACGAGGGAATGACACACGGGTCGATGGATAAGATATGTCATGCCTTTTAAGGTGTTAAGGTGGTTTTGGGGGAAAACGCTAGGACTGTTTTGCAGCAAGTGTGCAATAAAGCCAAAACTACAAGCTAAAAGTGGCTAAAAACCTCCAAAGTGAAAACAGCTTGATAATACTTTGTGGGTTTATTGGAGCATGCTCAAAAAGCGTTAATGTCAAGCATCCTCTTTAAGTAAATCATCATGTTCCTGTGGTGAACATCACCTTTACTGATGGCCTTCATCACTTAATCTTAGTTATTTCCTGTTTTACTCTGAGATTTTCTTTTCTCGCGTATCTTGTTTTTGTGTCTACGTCCTATCTTTGTCTTCTCCCGTTTGAGATCGTCTGCCCTGCCCTCATTATTTGAACCTGCTTTTGATAGTTTCCACTTGTTCCCTGATATTCATTCATTTTTCTGTCTAGTACATTCCTTGTTTCCTGAAATCTTTTGTCTTTCCCTCTGTAACCTACACTTGGGTCCTCTCATCATATCCTGACATAAATGGAATATGTCCATTTGACAAGCAGATCAGTATAGTATGACCCCTATGAGCAAGCGCTTTGGCAACAGTGTGAAGGAAAAAACTCAGTTTTGCAGGAAGAACGAGAGCAGACCCAGGCTCACGGAGGGCCGGCCATCTTCCGTGACTGGTTGGGGGTGAAGGAAGGAAAACAGCAATAATCAGAAATACAAAAACGTACTCATCTAGTGAACTGCCGTGGCAATATAGATTAGTAAAACAATGCATCTTTCACCTTTTCAATTAAAACGTATTTTAATTTTTACTGGTTATTTTCTCAACTTCTGAGAAAGAAATTTACACTCTATTACAGTTTACATGAAAAATCTGTTTTATTCCTGCCTATAATCTTAAAGAGGTTATAAAGGAGTTTGTTTATTTCATTCATGGATTGATCTGTCTGCTATTTTATTACTATGATGACGTTTTTCTGACTTGTGAAGTGATAAAAAGAGATATCAAAAAACATTTAAAAAAGAAATTTAGCTGTTCTTGACACAATGTGTATTCAAATTAGTGTAGCCTATTACGATGAAGAGTGCCTCAGCTGGATGGTGTCTATTTATACTAGAAGTTTTGTTTTTTTTGTCTTATTTATTTTTTGCTTTAAATTTATGGAAGCATGAATATTTCTGGCACCGCAAGGTGGCAAGAAATGCCAGAAATAGGGTTACTCCTTCAACATTAGTTATTAGAAGTCACTGGCAGAAAGTCTTCATATTTAAAGGTGGGAAATACAGTCCTACCAGTGCATCTCAATCTAAAAAATAATTGAAATATTTTGGCTGCAGCTTTGAAGTTGAACATTTTAAATTTAAGGTGAAGCATCAAAAACTGCAGTTCCTTGAGCGGCCACTTGAGTCTGATCTAAAAGTGAGGCAGCCTCCACAGATTCCCATGTTAAAACGCCCAAATTCACAGAAAAAATAAGCATATTTTAGATGTAGACGGGTACAATCATATGCTTTTATTTCAATAGCCAGTTTATCTCTTACAACAAGCAGGTTTGCTTTTGTTATTCGGTTATTCGCAGGTATCTGTTTCCCTGCACAACCCCCGTACTGTCCACAGATGCAGCTTGCCATCATTAACTAATAACCCTTCACTCTCTCATCCAGTGCCTCTAAAAACAATACAACAGCACTTAAACTTAGCCAAGTATGTCCCATCTTTAGCAAACTAACACTACCTCCATCCCTAAGTCAAGCTAGCTTCTTTTTCCAATAACAAAAGTTAATGCTGGGTGGATTTATTTCATTGAGTGGGAGTAAATAGCACAATGCTTCAGCAGTTGGTGTGAAATCTAAACCTCTGGCACATGAATTTTCTTCACCCAGGTCTGGACTGAAATGTGTTTATGCACTGAGGGGCCTGCACATAGCACAGGTCTGGAATAGCCTGATGTAGGTCACAGACCCTGTCAGACTCAGCTCTGCCTCTGCATATAGTGTAAACATGTGCTGTACTATTCCCAGAGTGTTTGGATAATTACAAGCATGTTTCATACTCGCTTCAATTTAGGTCTGCATGTGTCACTTTAACCTGCATGTGTCGTTTCAATGAGAGATTGAGAGGTTTTCTGCACATGTGCAGGTTAGAAAATCGGCTGTCCGACTGCATCTTCAGTCTTTAAAAAATAAAAACAGGAAAGTGTGAGTAAATATTTAGTATTTTTTAGTTTTACCTTTCTTTGCACTCATTTTCTCTCATTAGTTGGTAACCTGTGAGAAAGTTGAACTGAAGTGCAGTGGGATTTCTTGTAAGATCACACATTTATTCTTATATTATTGCAAGTTTTTTTTTCTTGCACAACTAGACAGCTGGGTGTTTATCAGCGGAGTCCCAGGATGAACATTTTCCATTTTATACCTTTTCTTCCGGCTGTAATCTACCCAACCATTCCCCTTTCAGTACCTAAGAATAGCTTAGCTGTTGTACCTTTTATATTTTGAAAAGAGATATAACAGCCCTGAGCTTCTGGTGGAACTTCAGCCATGTTTTGGTACATTTTAATCTGATCTCTTTCTTAAACAAAGATTAGATACTATTTGAAAAGTGTTTTACCCTGTAAGGCTCTGTATTGTTCTGCAGGTCGATGCTTGAGACCACCCAGCTGTCGGAGGGCAACCGGCTGCTCCACAGCGGCCTGTCAAAGCTGTTCCCCTCGGTGCGCTGCAGGACCTCCAGGCTTCCTGGCTCTGTGATCTGATAGACAAGCCTCAGGCAGCTCCACTCACCATGCTCCAAACGGGGACTCAGCAGCACCCCTATGATCTCTCGCTGTGGGTCAGCACCACTGCCTATGTAGTCCTCCTGATCCTCATTCACGGCTGCTTCCACTGTGACAAAACGGCCTGAACAAATGGATTACAAATACAGCATTTCATTCATTATAAACAAAGCATGATCAAGAGCATTTTTATGGCAGCTGCTGCCTGATCTCCCCCCCTGCTGCTGTACAAACCTTTAATATTTGTGCCACAAATAAGGTTCTTAAGTTAAGTAATGTAGTCTCCTCATTTCCAGCTCCATATTTTTTTTTATTTTTGGACTCTGCCAGAGTAAATTTTGCATGGTTCACAGTGTAAATTATCACTGTTTGACTGTTAGTGGGCCTTCAGTTTATCCTGTCTGAAACAGACTGTTTTAGCTCCTGCTGCTTTAAGCTAGCTTCTTTCTGATTGGTTCTCTGACAAAAGCAACTTTTGAAAACTTGCATAAGAAAAACCATAAGAAAAAATGTCTGAAACTGGGTGTTTAGGGCAGTCAGAAGCTGATCTTTTGGCCCAGAGTGGCTAATATTACATAAGCTAACCTTTGGCTGCCTTTGATATCAGCAGCCACCACTCTAATATCACATATGTCAGTAAGGAAAAGCTTGGTGACGTCTTGCTTTAAAGCAAACGTTTTAAAATGCTCTGGAGGCAGATTTTTAACAGCACACTCAGTACCAGCTATAAGTATCTGTCAGCTGTAAAACTAATTGGAAATATAGACCCTTCATGAGAAGGGCCAGGCATAAAAAGATGCACAACAACATGATAATAGATAATAAAATGCAGATGGATCATCAGAAAAGCAGCTTCAAGGTTAAAACATTATGATAGCTCATAATGGGAATTTAACCTAAATAGCCACTCTCATGGTGAATGAACATCTCTTTTCCTGGATTTCCCAAGAATCTGACAAAGAAAAGGTCTTGGATCAAAAAGGAACAAGAAATGTGGAAAATTATTACCACTTCTTCCTTTCATGTGTCTCTACATGATTGCACAAATAATCAACAACACAACTGCATGACACAAAAAGCCAGCAATTTAAAAAGCTGGCCAAATAAGCAGGATGCTGCACTTCTGCAGACTGTTATTAAACGTGTAGTCAGTATTCAGACATCTAACACATTTCAGATCTGTCTCCCATTAATGTTAGAGTGAATTGTTAAATGTTGTCATTTTTATGCTTACCATCTCTACATTGTTCTAACACTGTGATGAAAGGAATTTCCTTTTGCCCCCTCCCCAGCCTCTCGAGGTTCTGCGGGGGGGGGCTGTAGTCTTTTATTGCAGATACATCCTATCTGGAAGATCTGTTTCTTGTGATGTTGCCTCCTGCGTTTATGACCCTTTGGTCAGCAGGAGGTCACACACACGTGCGCACACACATTCTCGCATAACACACACACACACACACACACACACACACACACACACACACACACACACACACACACATATGCATACAGTGCCTTGTCTTTGTAACCAAGGAGGGTTACGAGGGGAGGTGTTTGTAAACTATTGTGTGAACGTTCTCAATAAAAGCCAGAGGAGGCTGGATTTGGGGTCATTTCATGGTAGACACCAATGAGGCCTCCCTTGCAAGTAAATCAATCAATCGCTGACTGTCTTGTTTTCTTCATGATGAATAAGTCTCTAAACCAGTGGGGCTTGTGGAAACACAGACCCAACAATTAATTTCTGCGTTTTGGCAGTAATTTCAGTTCAATACTTACTAGAGAAAAGTTACTAAAGGGGTGTGCACCGTTAAGAAAACAGATGTAGAAAAGGTTGCACTGTGGACCTAAGTCTGTACAGAAATGTGACTAAAAACCTAAAGTACTGAAAACCCATGTTTCACTGTAATACAAGAGAGACCCTTACAGTCCAGTTTTTGGTTTTCACAGGACTATGCAGTCCTTCCTGCTTCCATAGGAATTAAGGGGGCACACAGGCAGGTGCTGCTAATCACATGCACTTAATTAAGCGATCATCAGTAGATCTCAGCAAATTCACTAAGGTCAAACTGTGCAAGGCTCAGAGAAAACCCAAGAGCTATATTTCAGATTCTACAAACCTCATTTAGCATGCTAAATGTTGACAGTACAATGAGAAAAAACATCTGATCAAACAAATCTACAACAGAAAGGCTGAAGGTCACGGTGTTTCAGTATCCCAGTGAAAGTCTGTGTGCAAAATCAAATTCAATGAACCTCAATGAACTGATACAACATTGTTCAGAAAGATGGGTCGAAATTCCTCCGCAAAGTGAGAAACTGATGAATTCATACAGAAAACAATTACTTTAGGTTATTTCTAATAAAAGGTGGTTTTATAGCCAGAAAAATCATGGGGTGCACTTAGTGTTTTCACAGGACTGCACATGCATTAGTAAATTTGGCCCAAGGTCACACATTTTAGTTTCTGGTAGAAATCAAGGTACATACTGTAACTTTTATACCGTTTGTGGCTTACTAACAAGCTAGTAATTTGCTAATTATATATTATATATCTACTCATTTGCTAGCTTGTGAGAGTACAAACTGAAAGGCACTAGCAAATTAACAGAGTTGGGTGTTGTTGTTGCCGGACCTGAAATCATATTAGCTGATCCACACAGTGCAGCCACACTAATTAACTGAGTTAAATATGAACACAGAGGCAGCTAACAGGCTCACTGATCGATGTGCAGGTTTGGACGTTCTGACAGAAATAAGCTCTAAATCCCAGCATCAGTTTGTGTTTAAATGCTTGGAATTATAAAATGTGTCTGAGCCAGCTCCAGATAATATGCAAGAATCAATCATTTTCTTTACACTTTCTGTTTAAGGACTAGAACCTGTTAAAAATCAGATGTAGTGTTACTGCACATTTCTATCTGAAAAAAGTTATAGAAAACCCAGATTTACGGGATGTGACATTTTGCATCAGGATTCATGGCCAAAGTCAGGACACTTTGAGTCAGAGCATCATAAAATCCACCTCAGCAACTCTTTTCTGCTCCAGGGTCCTCCGAGCTCTTCTTAGTGGTCTGTCATTTATTATTTGTCCCTGTGGAATGCCCTGCTGCCCCGGGGCTCCTGAACACACTCACACACAGAGGACTGAGATGATTTCAGTTTGGAAAATTCAATGTTTCTTTTCTTCCCCCAGTAAACTGCAATTGTTTATATTTAAAAACTGAATCAACAGATGTTAAAACCTCAAACTGATGCAATGTCTTGATTAGATCATCCCAATGCCTGATTTGGTTTCAAGCAGAGTAAAAAGGGTACATAAAAACTGCTTTATACATACATTTGACATGACTTCACTGCTCCTGTTCTGGCTGCGCAGAGCAATGAAAGGGATAAAGAGCAGTGGAGGAAAGGAAAAGAAATGAGCAGGAACTAAGCACACTATTAATGCACCAAATACACCGACTTCTCTGGCACGCCAGCGGCATTAGCAACAAAGATGGAAACAGGAAAACACAGAGTATCCCAGACAGAAGCAGAGCAATTTTTGGACAAAGTGGGCTGTGAGCAAACATCGTAGTGGGGAAAAAGTGGTAATTAGAGGTTTTCTTCAGCAGGATTTGGAGCAGCAGGATAGAGCCATGATAGAAATTCTGCCTCACCAGTTACATGGCTCAAGATTAGAGATAAAGAGTTTTTTTGTTTGTTTGTTTTTATGACTGATATCATCTAACCTCTCATCACCCACCAGATCATAGGTGAGTAAGGGCTAGTGTTAGGGACTGATTTAACCACGAGCTAAATAGACTCATTTTCAGAAACTAGAAAATTTTGCCTCTAAAATGAAGCTTCTTTTATTTTTTTTGCAGGATGTTAACCTACCTCTAACCTTAACCATACCCTTGAATAGATGGGTTCTCAGTCATCCAGGTCATGGTTGCCTTCTCATTCAAAAGGCTTCTTCAGTTCTAAAAACTGATGAGGAGTCCCAGGTATTCATATGTTAGCTCATGTGAGTCTAACCGCTCATTTGACAGGTCGGTATCAAGGACTTTCAGGACCACCTCCAAGGTGAAAGCCGCACTAGCAGTTAAAAACAGGTGTTATACAGTGTAAGTCACGGCACAGGCTCAAGAAAACCCAATATCAGTGAACACAGCTTGTTAGTAAATGCTTGAATCGGAGTTAATGCCACGGTCCTTGGGTTTGAGGTTGTTTTTGGATTGGGAATCCTCAGTCAATATATTTGGGTTTGGGTTTCTGTTCGGGTTCTTCTGTTTGAAGTTTTGATTCTTACTGTTTGTAGATTGAGTTTTTGATCTCTGTTGTCATGTCCTTTCAATGCAGTAATATACTCATAATGTAGTTTGTTGATTGTATTTATGGCTCCAGATACGTTTTCTTGGACTTTTCAATGCCTTTCTAGATGGTTTACTGTTCCAGTATTAGTTCTACATTCTTGATTTGTATTTACCTTCAGTTCCTAATTTGAGTTTGTTATTTGTGTGTTGTGTTAGGTTTTCTGGTGTTCCCCCTGAATTAGTGAAACAAGAATGACAGACTAAACAGCTTTTGTTCATTTCCTGTTGTAGTATGACTGTTTTTCTATTTTTCTATGGCTGTTTGAGTTTTGCTTCCTCTCTGATTGTCTTCATCACATGCAGTTGTGTCTTATCCTCAAATTAGTCCTGAGTGTATAGTCCATGTGGCATTCTTGTTTCTGTCTATATAGATCTGTCCAGTTTTTCCCCTCACCTTCTCTGTTCTTTGGATTACTGCTCGTGGTGTTCACTGTCATCAGGAGCAGTGTGAAAAATATGTGGGTTTTTTTGGCTAGTCTCGCTTTGGCTGTTGCCGTTCCTTCAGCTGGCCGTGACGAAAATTGTCACAATTACAGGATGCAAAGAGCTGAAATGACACTGAGTGTTTGAAAACAATGAAAGGTGTCCACTGTCTGTGCTTCTCTGCGGTCCTTTCCTTTCCTGTTCAGGCCAACTTTTCAACCAATCAGCATTTTACCACCACACTCCCTATTCAGCTATGCGCTGGTGGTTTTGGAGGACTGCACACAAACACCTCTGCATAGACTGTATACCCATAATCCTTCACTCTGCAAAGCCAAACACTTAGGCAAACTACTGGCGTATCCTCTTAACCCTCTGACACAAACACATTACCATGAATTCTGCATAATTTATGCTTCTGCGTCGACTCTAAGTAGAGCCTATGCAAGTGGTCGATACCATTGCCAGCATTTATACTTGTGCTGGCGGCGGGTGTTTTCTTCCAGTCAATTTGAAAAATGGCGGCAGAAGATGTAGCCAAAAATACATAAGAGGAAACGGTGGTATGAACAGGCCAGTCACAATCATGTGACATGTACTTTCATTCTCCAGTTACAAGCATACATCCCACTTCAGTCATGATCAGTGGCGCCCCCTAACCGTAAGTCAAGGCAATCAAAATATTGAGTGTGGAGGATTTTTTCAATTACGCTCCCAAATTTGTTTCCTTTCTCCAAAATACAAGGTTAAGGTTATCACCAGTGATCCACATTTATATATATACTAAATAAAAGATTATTGGACTGGATCAGTTTCATAGAAACTACTGATGATAATTCTGCCCCCAATCCTTTTTTTAGAGAAAAGCAAAATTGGCTTTTCTGGAAAAATGTGAACAGGATTTAATCTATCAGAACAAGTAATTTCTGATCATATTTGGGTTAATGTGATTACCGGTGATCACTTAGACCTCAAAGGCTTAAAGCAGGCTCCACATCATGTCACTATTTACGTGACGAAACCTTGTCACTGGTTCACCAGGATAAATACAGCTCAAGACTTCTCACTATTTTGTTCATGGACCACACAAGAGTACAATTTTACACATGCTTGTTTAGCAATGGTTAAGAAGTTGTGTAGTTTCTGCCACGGCGACCAAAGCGTGCACAAACGTTAACTTTCATTCATCCATCTGTTGGCTTTGATCATTTTGCATGAACAGACGGTGATATCACACAGATACTAAGGTAAGGGCGTGTGCAGCATTCATTCATATCAGCTGCAGCGGTACCAACCCGACGAGAATAAATAAATGTGTTATTTCACTGACTCCAGATGTTCAGAGATGCTGCAATCAATGCAGACCAGATGGGTTTCTTTTCACCGTACTGCTTTAGTGGCACAGCCAAAACCAGCACCAAAACTGTCATTAAAACATCTTTAACTCTACACTCATTATAAGCTCCTACGTTAAATTCGTTTTAAACCCTGAAAGTGCAGGGTGCCGTCGTTTTAAGTACCATCTTTTTGCAGGGTCCAGCTCATAAAGTCTGCATCTGACGTGTATCCGCAGGTGTTGGACTCAAAGTTGCAAGAGCCTGGCAACAGCTGGCTGTTGGCTTGGATGTTGACTGAGAGAGAAACAAAGAGGAGGAAGACGTTAGAGAGAGAGGGAATGGTAAGTATGAATCATTGCAACTGGCATTAATAGAAGCATGCCCTCATCCACCAGCGCTGGCCAAAACCGTTAAGATGTACTCACCAGCAAAAGTTAGGAGAATGTAGAATCTAAGCATTGCTGCTTTCTGTTTGAAAATATACAAAGAAAACTCTTGGAGGATGTAGGAAAAGAACAAAGAGCAGTCCTCTTTCATCCACGGTCGGGGAAAAGGCAAGATGGCTCTGCAAAGTTTGTTTTTGAAGACTTCTCTCTTGTGTGTCGTCCGAGTGTCTCTCCAGCTCACAGACCGGCAGCACACTGTCTGTGGGGAGAGTGGGGAGGAAAAACAGAGAGGAGGAGGAGGAGGAGAAAGAAGGTGACTGATGGGCTGATGTTAGGCGAGAGAGGGAGCTGGGGGAAGGAGAAAATGAAGAGGCTGGAAGGGGGGCACCTCACACACTATCAGAAACTGACTTAAAACAGCAACGACTGTGCAGCTCTCCTCTTCTGATCTGTTGGCCTCAGAGTAAAAGCAGAGTTAGGGGTTAAATGTCCTGTGCAGCTCAGTTACTCAGTTCACCCCCCACCCTGAGCATTAGGCCCGTGTCTTCCAGTTCAGACATGAGCCTAATGAGCGAAACTGTCCTTATCAGAGAAAAACGACAGAGTCGGTACATTTTTAAAATGCTTAAAATCTCCAGAGTTTGCAGTTTCCTTGCAAACAACCTAATTATGGTGTGAACAACATGACTGTGCAGTAAACCTATGTATACTTGGTGTACACTAACCTCCCCTATCAGTGTGCTGTGATAAACTGTCAAACAATACTGCGCTATGAAAGATTGTCCTGATATGAACTTCAGATGAATTTGTAAAGGGTTGTCTCCTCTCTGGAGGTGTTTTAGTGTTGAGTGATCAGCAGTAACTTGCAGCGGTGTAGAAAAACTACACATTTTTGAGGAGAGCCTGTTGTTACAACCTTTGAATGCATTGAATTATATTATGTCACACACTCCTGGTGTCAGTGCTTTTACCAGCTTCATATAGAGAAATCCTTTGAGACAGAAGGGCAACGTTTATTCAAAAAATGTGCGCAATTGAATATTTTTGGCCATCGGACTCTCACGAGAAGCGGCATCATTGATCAGTAGGTTCAGATGGAGGTAGAAGATGGTAAATGGACCCCCAAAAGGAAATAATAGAGCTAATTTTATCATGACATGAAAATTTTGGAGTGCACAGGCTGCTATGAAAACGTTACAGCTACATGAATCAGGCTGGAAGGAGAGAAGTGAGAGGCTTTTGTCAGCTAAATGATGAACTTATGGAAAACAAGAAGCACTCCTCCGTCAAGGCAGCTCTCTCTCTCTGGGCTGTATTTACATTTAAGGGAACAGTAATGTGTTTCGTATTTATTCATTTTGTTTTCTGTGTTCTTTTTGAGCAAACTTTAAGAAGTTTGCAGTGCAGATTATTACTTTGACTACACAAACATAATGTAGGAGTAGGTAATGGATAATGTGAGTAACTGCACATGAATAGCTTGAGTTTACAGTTTATTTCTGACTAACTAGACATTCTCTTTCTGTAGAGTCAGAATCCTCATATATTGGTATAATTGCCTAAATGTTGCCAATAGTTTTAAAGATAAAAGACATTTGATGAAGGTTCGACCTTGTAAGAATTATAGAAGTTTTATAGGTTATAAGATTTTTTTGTATATTTTTGACCAATAAATCGTTAAGATAACAAATTTTAATGGACTGTTAACATGACCCCACTCTACACCCCCACATAGTTCATTCAAAACTTTTCAAGCTATCGTGTTTACAGACACACACACACACACACATATAAACACTACAAAAACGTCTTGGCAGTGAAAAAAAAACATAAAAAAAGAAGATTTGGGGGACATTTACTGTTCACTCGTATATCTTTGATTTCTTGCAGTTGGGCACCTCTAACCTGATGGGGATGCAAAACATCTAAACCCAGCCAAGAGTACTCCTGCTCTTGCTGAACCTGTTTTTGTGGGGTGACACTTTTATCATTTTTTAATAATCATGTGGGTCTTTTTGAGACACAGACTTTATTGTGCTGCTGAAAATCTTTTCCAGATGCTCCAATTTAACTCCAGTGCAGATTTCCTTTTGTAATAAAGTGCATAAGGTAGTCAAAAATATATGGACAATACTTCTTTTTTCATTTGAGCAACTTTTTCTGATCAAGAGAAGAGATTTTTTTCACACAATGACTCCTTTAATTTAGAAAATATACTTCCCTTCCCTTTTCAGTATTACAGCATTTCCCACATGCACAAAGCCAGGACCCGTAGAAGTTTTCCTCTACACCCTCTGGAGTAAATCTCTGCAGCAGAGCTCTAAAATAGTGCACGTTAAAAGACACTGCTATATAATGACACCTTCAGCTATAACACAAGCATGTTAGGTAGTCAAACACTTTTGTATCGAGTTCATATTCGTAGCATAACAGCTGGAATTTAATGAGAAGACATATTTGAGAGCCTGTCTGGAAGCGGTATGATGATGTTTCCTGGGGTCTACAAATGATCTGAACTGTGTTTTACAGACTTGTGGAGCGTCAAAACATTTTTCAGTGATATAAAATATGTGAACAGCTTGTATTAGGAAATCCTGAACTAATCCTGCAGTTCACACTAGTTCATCTAAATACAAAGCAGCCACATGGAAATGTGAAAAATCCAACCTAAATTCAGGAAAAATGGGTAAAAAATTAAATTGTTGGAGCACTGAATGTCAGCACAGATACTCTGAGTCCAACTGCAGAAGGAAAATGAATTTGAATGGTGGAAAAAAAATGGAGCATGCTGGGTATGGAAGACCAGACTTTGCTGTACTTTTCAGAGGGAGAGCTCTCCTCCACATTTGTGGTCCATCTGTCAGCCTTGCTTTCTCTGCCTCTGTTTTTTTCCCCTCCTCATTTTCTGCAGTTCTGCACTCTTATCGCTTGTGTTCACCAGAATTTTAACAAGAAATCTGAAACAATTATAGAGCACATGGGGAGGTGGATATTTGTGAAACCTGTTAATTGCGTGGCAAGAAGGCCTGACTGAAGCCATCAATATTATCCTGCTGGAAAATGCAGAGAAAAATGCAGAGCTAAAAAAAAAGGGGGGAATACAAATACTGATTCTTTGTTTGAGAACACAGAGGGAAGATTGAAAACAGCGTCCAGAGATTTCTGCTTTCCCTCAGCTTCACAGATTATAATTAAAAGTTCATTTTTTCTGTGTATTTTCTGGTCTGGTCTGTCTCTGTAAACAACAAAGTGAAGCTTCAATAAAGAACTGAAGGGTGCTGTCAGAGTTCGGTCATGTGCGGTGCATGCAAACGTCATTGTTTGCTCGATGATTCAGTTATGAAACGTTCTCCTCAGTGTGTGATTTACTGCCAAAAAGAACACCAAACAATGTAGTCGCTGGACCCCCACCCTTCTTCTGGGAACACCCCAGCCCACCACTTCTGCTGGCGGTGGTTGACCCTACAACAGCTGTTATAACATTTGTTTAAATGAAAAGGTTTGATCTTTGCTGCGTACAAAGTGATGTGTCTGCGAGGGAAAACTTGGTCACAAATCTGTTTTCTGCAAAAACAGAAAACTCCACTTTTACTTAGTCTGTTGGGATTTTTTAACAACATGTTATACAGTTAGGCCCAGACGTTTTCAGACAATACACCGCCGCAGTGGATTTTAAAGCAAGATGTGACTGAAGGGCAGGCTTTCTTTTTTAATCCATGAAGCAATTTTTAGAAATGTCCCCCAGAAGCTCAAAATTAACTGGAAAAAGTGACGTAAAAATAAGGATTGTTTTTAGCACTTGGATAAAACCATGAACATCACCAAATGCTGTTTTTCCTCCCTTTACAACAGACGGCTTCAGTTGCTACTTATCTTTGTGCCTTTGGATCTTTTTGCATGTGGCTGTGTGTCTAATAACTGAAAAGCTGCTCTGTTGGGCTGCTGCTCATGTAACTGAATTGGCCATTGAGGATTATCCCATCTTTTTACTGTAAGAAGCTCTTAAGGAAGTATGTTTTGGGTCATTATCCGTTATCCATCTGCACGGTGAAGCACCATCTATCAGTTCAGCAGCATTTGGCTGAGTCTGAGCAGAGAGTATAGCCCTGTGTGCTCCACAGTCCATCCATGTGCTTCTATCACCAGTCACATCATCAATAAGCATTGGTGACCCAGTTCCACTGACAGCATGCATGCGGTGCCATAACATTTTTTAAATGTTTTCTGGCTAATTCTAATCTGCCCTCTTTTCTCTGTATCTACATTCATGTAGATGTCTCCTAGTTGTAGACTTTGACAGTGATGCGCCTGCCTCCTCGAGAGTCTTCACAGCTAAATGTCATGAAGCTGTTTTTCTTAACTGTGGAAATAATTCGGTCATTGTGCACTTTAGTTGTCTTCTGCGGTCCCTCAGGCCTTTTGATGTTGCTGAGCTGGATAGTTATTTTGGGTTTTCAGCCTAATGATGGTCTGCTTGCGTCCTCAGTGTTTTTGAATCTTATATTGAGAGTTCCAGCATCCAGTGAAAGGGTTACCAAATATAAGCTCAACACTTGGAATGGACTCGTGATTTTATATCTGCTTCAGTTAGCACAGAAATGTGTTTGATTATCACTTGTCAAATTACTTGTAAGTCTCTGAAAATGTGACACTATGTATAAAAATCGCTATAATTCCTATACCTGAAAGTCTGCACTTTGATCACATATTGATTTAAAATCAGCTGTGGTGGTGTACAGAGGCAAAACTACAAAAAAAGCTCTGTAAGTTAATTATGGACCTAACTATAATAATGGTTACTTAGAATAACTGCTCAATATGATGAAATACAGAGTACTGTGCAAAGGTCATGAGCCACCCCTCATTTTGCTTGGAAAATTGGAAACAGGTACAGAGATTTACTGAAAATTGTGCAAACATGCATGGTAATAATGGCAAAAACAGAGATTCAGTTCTACAATTGAGCAATTCTAAAGAGCTTGAAAGTCAATATTTGGAATGATTCTTAGGCAAGCTCTCTTCTGATTTTTCTCAGGAATTTCTGAGGACATTTAAGCAGAATAAAACCGTTGCTGGTTTTTAGACTTATAACACAGTATTATAATTTTATATGTGTTTTATTTAAACAGCAAAATTATTTAATAATAGGAAATTTTCTTTATATCACTGAGGTTAATGTAATATTTAATTGCAAAGTTGAACAATTTATGTGCATATTGAGAATTTAAACCTCCATCAGATGAACTGTATGAAAACCTG